TTTTTTAATAAGGAAAGAGGTTTGGTTGCAACACCAAGAAGGTGCACTTGGTGAAGTGAGATCATGGGAAACATCCCATTCTCGTGGGAACAGGGACAAAGTGAGAAAATGAGCAGCTACAAGGACTTTTGTGACGTGTGAGACATCAGCACGTTGCATGAAGTGATTTTTGTCCTTCCTCTTCTTTAAAGACCAAGTTAAGATGAAGGAGCAGGGCGCAAGTTGAAGATAGCCTCGTGTGTTGTCTGCGTTTGCAGCTTTACGCACACAAGATAATCGTTAAAAACTAGATTTAAGCAACTTCGTGAGCGCACAGTTGTAGATATGGGCCAAATGGGAGAAGGGCAAGTTGGTGTGCTGACGTGATGACGTGTGAAGATGATGATTATGACACCCAAGCGTTAAGTGTGTGCCAGTTTCTCCTTCGGGACAGTTGGTTGGGTGTTTGGACTTCACACAAACTCTTTCAAAATCAAACCACTTGTCGACCTCGCTCCACGTTCCCAAACCTGTCAGGTCCGACACCCCAGCCTCCTTTGTCACTGGCACACACGAGGAGTCACCATATTAGAGCTGAATGCTCCATTTCTCTGCTAGAAGGGCAGCATTTCAGACCAGTCAGTTTCCATCCTAGGTTTCACGGGCTCATTATTTATGGGGCGGGTTCACGTGGCTTAAATCCTGCACACATTAATGCTCGAGCGCACTCGGAGACCCAAACTGTGCGTTTACTTGTATTTGGTTTCACAACTTGAACACCTAATTCCTTTCTATATCTATATTTTATATCCTCATGCTGCAAATGGTGTATCTTAAAGAGCGAGTTTCTTTCCCGACTGCCATAGAAACCAGGGCTGATCCCCGGGCCTCCACTAATCGCCCTTTCTTTGATTTGAAACGGAAGTATCATTGCTTTTGAAAAGCTACTTAATCTCCTCTGGATCCCCGTGATCCGATCATCCCAGTGTTATCTCCACACTCTTTAGCCCATTATGAGGATCAGGGTGACCATAAATGCAGTGCACAGAGAGCTACACCAAGCTAAAAGCGCAGTTAACGCCAACTTCACTCACTCTGCGTCATGTGAGAACACGCAGGTCGCACTGAAACAGTCGTTCAGCTCGATGATTTCACTATTTGTATTTCGATAGTTAATAAGTACGCCCAGGAAAGATTTTTTTTTAAAGAAGAAAAAAAGTGGGTCTCACCAGCATGACATGTTGGAAACAATTACAGTAGATCAGGGTCAGAAATACATCTGTTAATGTATAAAATGTTTAAGGCCAAACACATGAAACAAACAAGTTTAAAGAACAGCAAAAACATAACAGTGTGTGGAAGCGAGATGCCGTGAGGGCATCCATGTTTGTTATTCAGTAGAAAACTAGAAAAAGTAGATTTTTTTCTTGGTGATGTTGATAATGATCATTACACCTGAGTGTAAAAATTAACTTCTAAAAAGTCTTGAGCCATTCCTCGTGGCTTTATGCTTCGCCTCCAGTGACTTTCTGTAGTGTTCAGGCTTTATGGAGGCGTTTGTGTTTTTCTGGACATCGAATGCTTTTTCATATATTTTCAGTTGTTGTATCTGACCACTGTCTAAGCAATATCTTGGGGATTTTTTTGTTTTTGTTTGCTTGTTAAGCCACTTAACATCATTCAAGCATAAAAAGGCACCTACCTTAATGGAGCAAATAATCTATTTTATTTATTTTGTTTTAATATTTCTGCATTTATTTATTGTTACCAGCGGCCTCTATCTATGGGGCAAAAATGCCAAATTTAAGACACAATTTGACATGCAGAAAAATGACTATTTTTTCCACGAATAAGGGGATTCCCAAAGAGATTTTATTCGAAACATGGCGTGTGCACTTTGTCCTTAAAAAAAAACAACAACTGAGGACAATCCACAGGTGGAGGACAAAAGAAGAACATGCAGGCCTAAAAACATATCACCAGCTAATGAAAATATCAGTAATGAAAAGCACGTCCTTAAGAAACAAGGGAACAAAATCCTGACACAAGACCTGAGAGATGCCACTATTCCTTCAGCCATTCTTGCAGTTTTTTTTAATTGGTTTGGTACTATTTTCATAACTAAAGTGTGCATTTTTAAATCTCTCAGTACAAAACTCACATTTGATCACATTTGTAACACCACTAGTCATTCTTTAAAATCTGATGTCATGA